ATGTTAATGGAGTTTTCTGTTTTTCTACTATTTTTACACCCCCATAGTTAATCGTTTTATTGAAAATCATTTTTTTAAAAAATGCTCACAAAGTATCAAGGGGCCAATGTTTAATTTTTTGTATATTGGCCAAAAAGCCCCTTTAATCACTATTTGTCCCATTTATCTGTTGGAAGACCCTATTTCTGGTTGCTGAACCCTTTGGAAGGACAGCATATAATCTTTCTACTGTCAAGTTGAATAGATTTAATTGGATTTCGGTAAGAATTTTAAAAGAAGCATCTAATCTTTTTTCTGAAAGCTATATATGAATTCAGTATGAAGATGTGTTTTTCTCTGATTTTTTTTATCAGATTGTACTACTACAGTACTCTAGTATGGTTAATATATTGAATGTTTGTAAAGTCAATCCCTTCTGCCTGTAAAGAACAAAGAGTTTTCCCAGAGATGCACAACTCTATGTTACGAGCTCTGTAATCTAACTCTGTATAATGAGCCATGAGTTCCCTGCCTCACCCAAATATGCTCCAAGTGGATTCTTGCTCTCATACTCTATGAGTTATCCCTTTCTGCCCAGGAGACACTCCACAAAGGCCATGTAATCTTTAGCAGCTGTACATGACATATTTTCCTGCAGTAATTATGCAGGGTGACAACTTGAACTCGGTCATCTGCTTTTATAAAACATATTGGATGCTTGATTCCCATGAAGTGCTTCATTCATTAGGCAGACTTGGTTAACTTGCTGATGTGATTTCCTAAATCTACCAACCCAAAATTGAATAATATCTCTGTGATTCATAGAAATCAAGATGAAAGGATCCTGTTGCTTATCTGCAACTATTGCTTCTGGAGTACTGATCTGTACAATAGTCTTTTCCAATTGAGGCTGTTATATTAAAATACGTATTTATTTTCCATCCTCTCCTTTTTCCCCCCAGCCCCATTTAGCCAATATGACTGCCTAGGAGAAGGGTATGGGGTCCACCAAAAGTTTCTTATTCCTGGAATATCCTGGATCAGGCATTGCAAGATGCATAAGCCATATGTATGAATTTGTATATAGGATCTGCATATATTTATAGGCAATCAATGAAAGAATTTCAGTTACAACTAAGCTATAGTTCTTCTGCATTATAAAGCAAAGTATCTCAAAATATAAGTATATCTTCATACATTAAAATACATTGATAGCTTGATTTCTCAGGTTTTGCAGTTATAGTGAATTAGTTCAGAAAATTTGCCCCATTATCTCAGCAAGACCAACAGTGAATTTTAAAAGTAGTAATGAATTCTATAAATTTAAATCATAGATTTCAAAAGGCAAGTCTTACTTCTTATATAATCATTGACAGCCCTTTGGTGTTCCAAAATTTGGATCAAGCAATATGAAACACAGATTATTTTTTTTAGAGTATTTGGGTTTCAGGGAAGTCTGTTAACGAACTATAAACATAAGCAGAGATTGATGCTTCCATAATGTATATTCTGCTGTAAACCATCTGTAAGAAGCTACTGGAAAAGAGCATCTGGAAATTCAAAGTATTTTACTCCCAATACGCTAACAGCTCTTCACTTATATTGCCACCCTGGGTGAAATAAGCTTTTTATCCACCTTCAGCCAATGCACCGTTTGTGACCCTTTCTGCACAAGGGGGATCTGGCTACAGTGACTTAACACAAGCTTCTGCAGTTTGTTCCAGGGATGGGATTCAAATTTTTTAACAGCCAATTCTGTGGATGGGGCTTAGTTGGTGGGCGTGGCTTGGTGGTCATGTGATTGGCTGGGTGTGGCCAACTCAATATCACTCACATCGAGGCGCGCATCTCCTTGCCTGGCATCTCATGAGTGTGGGGATGCTGCAACAGTCGTAAGTGTGAAAAATGGTCATAGGTCACTTTTTTCAGTGCCATTGTAACTTTAAATGGTCACTCCACACAAGCAAAGTACCAGCAAAGGAGGGGGGAAAAACTCCAGAGATGTTCCTGAGACAGGAAGTCTAGTCCTGCCAAGAATGTAATAAGGGTTAATGGAGAGGCAGTTTCTGTAAGCAACACCAGAATGTTTCCTTCCTGCCTTCCTTACAGGATTAGGCCAGTAATTTCTTCTAACAACTGGTTCTCCGAACTGCTTAGAATGTTAACAACGGGTCTAGCAAATAGGTGAGAACTGGTACAATCCCACCCCTGGTTTGTTCTTCATAGAGCTGCTCCTATGAAGTGATCCAAATGTAGCCCCTAGCATGAAGACAGGGATTTATGTGTTTGATCATTTTACATCTCTGCTGCAAGACCTGCAGTGGCTACCTGTGAGGTTCCAAGTTCAAATCAAATACTGCCTATGGCACTGCCTGCTCCAATATGAGTCAACCAGACCAAGGTAGTCCTTACAGGAAAGGCTGCTGATTTTCTCCCATTTTTTAATGAAGTGTGCTAAAGCCAGAAAACTACTCTTCCAAAGGGCTTTTGGAATTGAATGTTCATAATCTTTTGCTTTATGAAGTCCAATTATCTTAATTATTTTGTTTGTTAATCTGTTTTTTTAATAAACCAAATTAATATGTTACATTATTATGGATTGATTTTAGGTTTAATATTGGGTGTTATATAACTTTGTATCTCCTTTATTATTGTGAGCCATTGGATTAGATTGCACATGTATAATAATTGTTGTTTTGTAACGGGCACATATTATTCAGTCAACATTGTAGACAAAGACTCAGAACATTTTTGATAGAACCATCACTGAAAACAGCAAAGTGAATTTAGTAGTTGGGAAATAAACTGTCAAATTTCCTTATGGATTAGCAATTAAGAACAAGAAAGAGCAAGCAAAAATTATCTTTACAATGGAAAAGGATAAATAGTTGTGTGAGTGCGACATATACCAAGTGTATTGGGTATCTTAGGAAAGTACAAGTAATGCTCACAGGTCTGCATTTCAACCTCATTGTAGAGTTGAGAAAAATACAGAAGGGGACAACTAAAATGGTCATAATATTGTAACATTTTCCTGATAAAGAAAGCAGAATATATTAGGGCTATTACATTTAGGGGAAAAAGGAAAAGATACAGAGCAAAATAGATAAACGAATTTGTTGACAGCAGATTGAGAAAAGATAAAAAAGTATAATATAAACCAAAGCTGTTTTGTAGAATTACGTGGCTTTGAAAAATTTATGGAAGATAGAGTTGTCAATCAATATTAGCCATGACAGTTAAATGGAACCTCTTAATACAGTGATAGTATTTCTCTAGATCCCAGTTTCAAGGGGACAAATAGCAATTCATGCCCTGCTGCAGGCATTCCTGGAGCCCATTTTCTATATACAATTGGTCATGCTTTAACAGACTTTCAGAATCCTTGATTTACATGTTTTTCTCTTGCTCATTTGACTGGCAACATAAATCCTGGTGTTTCTTTGTCTTTTCCCTCCTTGGTGGGAAGAATCTGAAGAGAATTTATGTGGGCATTTGGCTCCAAGAAACACAGAAGCATCTCTGAAGCTGCCTTATAACACAGAGGCTTCTTCATATGATTAAGCCAAACATGCGGTTTTTAATCTTTTTTTCCTCAACTTAGAAAGGTTGGGGAAAGACAGACACTATACATTGCTCTGTGTTGTGTTTCCATATTCAAGTATGTTGTTTGAATAGAGCTGTATACAAAACACTGTCCTAGCCCAGGTAACTGAGACTTTGATAATCAATTTTTCAAGGAAAGCACCCCATGTGAACACTTTTTATGAGACTTTTTTCATCTTTGCAAAAACTAGGGTGTGTTGCAAGATCTTCATATAAAGGCAGAACTACAGGTAAAGAGGAATTAGTTGAGTAATCGTGATAGGAGGTATTTGCACAATTTACCTGAGTTGTGTTTTTACATTTCAAAAGTTCCATAGCACATGCTATTTGATATTCTTTCATAGTTACAGACTAGTTTTGAAAATGTATGAAACAGTAGTTTGGCCTGTGTTCGTTGGGGTATTTTTTCAAAATTACTTCAAATATTTTTTTCTATGCATTGGAAAAATAAATTGGCTTTCTTTCCATGATATTCTGTAGCTACATGGTTTTAAATATTCTCACCACATGCTGATGAGTTTGAAAAAGAAAACCTGGAAAATGTGAAATAGCAGCTTGTGATATGATTTGCTACAAATGTCACCTTTAATGATCAAATGTATGTAATGTCTATTTGTAATGTGGTGTCACCACTGCAAGAGCAGTGCAGAAACTAAAGAGTTTTGAGACAAGTATAGTTAGCTATTGCTTTGTATACATTTCAATAAAAGCCATGGTAGCCTGAGATTTTTGGGGTTTGAAGTCCAGACATCTTAAAGTTGTCATGATTGAAAAACACTTCCAGTGTATATGAGCAAGAAACATGAGGTCTTGTGTTGCTGTTCCTCTTCATCTTTGTGCATTTGTTTAAATTGCCTTTTGAAAGAAGGGTGAAGATGCATCCAGACATCCAGTGACTGCAGATTAATTCCTGAAATTTTGAACATGGTTTAATGAAAAAAAAAATCCTATTGACAAATTCAAATTAAGCATTCTCTTGTCTCCTGTCCCCCGCCCCTTCTCTCCCTCCCTCTCTCTCTTTTTCCCCTTCTCCCCCTCCCCCTCTCACCCCCACTACCCTTTTCCCTCTTCTTACTCATATGTTAAAAAATAGGTACATCCATTGCATTACTTACCTTCTCATACAATATGATGTTTCTTTACAATTCTTAGATCTTTACCCTTTCTGAATTGACGTTTTATTTGGCACAGGAAATATTGGTATCATATAGATGGATTCCATAATAATTGCAGGTAATATAGGAGGAAGCAAATAATTACCGGAGGAAGTAAACTGACTTCCCAAGCCTTTATGAATTACAGGATGAGCAACATGGAACAGTGCTCTGAAGAATAGAATGGTCTGCTTCTTGGCAATTACAGTAAGTGTAACTTGGTGCATAAAAGAATAAAAGTTATTTTTCTCACTTTTGCAGATCTTACTTACAGAAGAGTTTGTGGAAAGAATGCTGGAAGACCTAGAAGATCTGAGTTCTCCAGAAGAAGTAAGTTTATTTAATCCAAATACCTAAAAAGCCATTATTTACACAGTCTTTGATTTACAACACATTTACTGACCACATTTGAAGTTACAATAGCATTAAAAATGTGACATGACCATTTTTCACACAACTGTTGCAGCATCCCTATAATCACACGATCAAAGTTCAGTTGCTTGGCAATCAACTCATATTTATGTCAGTTGCAGTGTCCTGAGATCATACGATTACCTTTTGTCATCTTCTGACAAGCAAGGTCAATGGGGAAGCCAGATTCACTTAACAACCATGTTACTAACTTAACAGCACATTAATTCACTGAACAACTGTGGCAAGACTGTAAAATGGGGTAAAACTCAGTGTCCCACTTAACAACAAATTTTGGGCTCAGTTGTAGTTGTCTGTTGCGGACTACCTGCATATCTTTGCTTGTGTATGTAATTTATATAACTTCAACATCAACATTTGGAATTCTTTGCTGAATAAAGTTGAAGAATTAAGATGCTCCTTCAGTAGGGACTTTATGCTAAATTGACATTTCTCCAGGTACTTTTTTTGCCATGTATCCTCCATTCCTTGAAACATTTTCCCCCTTTTATCGTAATTTGTAAATCTTTAAATGTATTACTTCAATGCAGGTTTCATTGAAATAATATTTATATACTATGATTAAAAATTATGAACATTCTGTTACTTAGAAAACTTAAAAAGTGTTGAAATTGAGACATCCTGTTTTCTCTAAAAGATCCAGTACTTTGCTCAGAGGATAGTGCTTGAGTTCTCCTTTGAAGTTTTTGTTGTACATGCTTTTAGATTAATTGACCTTTAACTTAACAGATTTTTCCCATGGAATCATTTTAACTATTTTTATGAACATCATACAACTCCCCTCTCAAGTTTTTTTTATAAAAGCAGTGGGTAAAAACAGTAAAGACATCATAGCTGTCTTGTACTATACACTTACTATAATGGGATTGGAGAGGGAGAGTATTTTTCCATGGGCTCCTTACACAAATGTTTTCTTGTTCCCTTCTCACTGTTCAGTTCCTGTGGGTTCCTTATCTTCCAAATCGCAATAGCACTAGCATTTATATTTATATACCGCTTTACAGCCCTCTCTAAGGCTGAGTCAACCTTGAGCCTGGTGAAATTTGAACTGCCAAATTGCAGATAGCCAGCTGTCAGTGGAAGTACTGCACTCCTAACAACTGCACCACCGTGGCTCATAATGCATAAGCTGCATAATGTCTGTTAAAATTGGCAGGATCATGAATTCTTGTTGTAAATTCTTTATTGGCCAAGTGTGATTGGACACACAAGGAATTCGTCTCCAGTGCATAAGCTGTCAGTGTACATACAAACATACAAAAGTGATAAGTCATAGATCATGTATAAAATCTGGTTTAAAAATCCTTATTTGCTTGTTAATCTAATATCTTTTCATTTGCTCCTGTATTATATAATGATATAAAGTATCTTGAAAATTTGAAAAAAAAAAATTTCTCACATGAAATATTATTTATGCAATTTTGGTTTCTGAATATTCACTTCTGTTACTATCAGTAGCTTCTTCTTAATTTTGTTATTTTTATGGTCTTCAAAAAACAGGCCTTTTTTGTATTGAAACAAGCCTCTTTTTCACTTATTGATCTATTTCTTCCTTTATTGTCTATTTCTATAGGTAAATATCACGTAGGTAGCAATTTCTTTCATATAACTGTTTTATCACTTCAGAAGAGATCACTTTTTAATATAATTCTACAGAGAAATTATAAAATATTATCTTCACATTTTGTTTTTCTTCCCAGAAATTGTACTTTTATTCATCCTAGATTCTAGCAATTTCTATAAGTACTAACTGATTTCTTTGTTTTTTAGTTCAAGCTTCCAAAGGAATATAGTTGGCCTGAAAAGAAACTAAAAGTCTCCATCTTACCTGATGCTGTATTTGACAACCTACTTCATTAAAGACAGCTGATGCCCACAAGCAGCAGCTTATTGTTTATTGCTCAAGGACTAATGGGAGCATTGAGTAGAGTAAAAGTTGGTCTCGACAATGTTGCTGCATAACTAAGCAGAAGAGAGGTTACTCAACAACAGTTCAGCCAGAAAAGTTCATGTCTGGTTTTCTTCTTTTTCGTCATGGCTGAACTCTGAGTATCTGCATATATATGAATGAGTACAAGAGTTAGACTGAGGAAGAAGTATTCCATTATGAGTAGCAGCTGTTATACATCTTCCACTGTCTTAACTGGCTCTAGAACTGCCTGCTGCCACCTTAGTTCAGGGTTTATATTCATCTGCATTTATTGTACACATTTTTCACCTGTAAACACATAATTATTAATTTGATGTTCTCCATAATGCCAAACTTCTTTTGTTAGCCAGGCTTCTCCTTTGGCAGAATTATTCCTTTAATGCAAGTTGCAATTCCGAAAAGAAAGTGGGATTCTCCACATGTATTGGGAGTAAACAGAGTAAAAAATTACTCTATTATCTTGGCCCCAAGCATTTCTTGTGGTTCAGCTGCAGTGAAGTTGGGCAGGTGGGTTTGGTCTCTTAGCTCAAATTAGTTGAGTGTAGCTGAATTTTAGAACCGAAATTTTGAGCCCTGTAATAAAATGATCCTGTCATTTGCTTTTCTGTAAAGAATGGATAATTCATTAGTAAGATAACATCCCAAAACACTTTAATAATAATATCAGCAACAACTTCCAAATTGAGCCTGTGAATATTAACAGATTTAGAAAGAAACCTAACTGTAATTCAGTTGGATTATTTCTAAATAAATGTATGTTAAATTATAAGTTTTTATATATTACTTTGAGAATGTTTGGCAACAATAAGCTCCCCCAACCCTTTTCAGACACTTTAATTGATAATATAACCGTAAGTTATTGGATTATAAAGCATATTAAATAATTGCTCTTATTTCTTTTATTAATGACCAAGCAAGAAATATGAGTGATTAATTTTATATGTTTTTCTCATTGAACTCACTGAGCTATAAAATGAGTTAATGGCTTGTCTTATTTGTATTAGCACTGTTAGCACTTCTGTTTTTATGAAAATTCCTGATGCTGCACTCTTTCTGAAAAATTTCCACCAACTCTCTGTGTTTCAGCTCCTAGAGGTGCCCAAGAGCCTGTTATCTTATATCAGCTTTGGAACAAAGCAGTCTAAAACATTTAAGTTTTGTTAAAACCATGTTCTTACTTTTTATTAATGTAATAGAAAGCCTTGAATTTGCTCTGATGAGAATTAATTGAATCAGACCTCTCCAGAAATTGTAATTCACATAGAAGTCTAAATTGTTTTTGAACTATGTGAAAATATGTGTTTTTCACAACAGGGGTCCCCAATCCCCGGGCTGCAACCCACTACTGGGCCATAGCCTATTCTTAATTGGGCTACATGAGTGGCTGGCCAGAGCATGTGCATGTATGCGCAATAACTTGCGCGAAAAGTGGGCTCACCCACATGTGCACCCGGCTCATGGAAGTCAAGCTGTGTTCCAGTCTACCATTTGTGCAAAGTCTGGGTGTGTGCACCGGGTCGCCCCAAGCCGGGCCGGCAAGCCGCAAAGGTTGGGACTGCTGTTTTACAATCTACAAATATTCAGTGGTCTTCATCTGCAACTCAAAGGCTAGGTTAGAATCCCATTGGACAAAAAAAGGGAAAACTTTTTTATGCAATGACATTTTGGGAAAAGAGAGAAAAATATACAATAAACATGAGCTGGACTTTATGCATTGTGAAATACTGTATTGTCAGTAGAGTTTTTGGATACTGTGATGTACTAACCTATTCTAATATTCAAGATCCTAAAGCAAGAAGGCTTTGGAATCTGTAACATAAGTGAGAGTCTTTTGAAGAGCCTAGTTCATACTTTGTTTTTAGTAGATATTTAAATAAAATTAACAATGTTAAATTAATAATAGAAGATTGCAAAGATGTACAGCGCTAATAGTAAGATTCTCTAGAGCAGGGCTGTAAAACTCACAGCTCACGGGCCGTATGCATCACACACTGGCCATGCCCACGCCCGGTTTAGGGAAGTGGGGAAAAAATCCCGATACATCACGTGACACCACCATGACGCTGCAGGTTTGACAGTCCTGCTCTAGAGGAAATGTACATGGGGTAGTGTTCACATGTACTATTCAGCCAAGATCATTAACCATTATTTGTTGAACAAGCCAGAGTCAATTTTCTGGGACAGCAGAGTGATTGTGACTTTCATCAATTTCTTATTTTCCCTCCATTTCTGCTATTAATCAGGTGATATTTCATAATATTTTTTTAAAAAGTTAAAGAACAAGGTTGTTTTTTGGAAGATTTCCTCTATAATTTGCTCTATAATTAAGCAAATTGTAGCCTCAAGGCCAAGTGTGGTGCCCAGATCTTCTTTCAATAGCCCTCAGATCTTCATCTGCAAATGTTGGCAGTACAAATGATGAAAATTGCTAGCATGGTTTCCCACCATTTTATGACAAAATAGTCATTAAAACTAATATATGGTCTGCAACACACAATGCATTTGGAAAAAAAAAACACCAAATCCCCTGCAAAATCCAGAAAATTCTACTTCTGTTCATTTATCTGAGAGCTCCTTTGCACCCCAGGAAATATGTATAACTTCCATCTTCAAAAAGGATAGTCCTGGGGGTTTTGTGATTATTATTACTTTGGCTGTGTAAGGTTGATGGAATTGACTTTACTTTGTTGTTGATGATGGTTTTGTTAGATTACACTATATTGGGTTTTTTTAAAGAATTTGTAAAGTTTAGAAAACAATTATGTTTTGTGTAGGTTTGGTTTTGCCTGTGTCTGTTGTCTGAGTATGGTTGGTTTTATTTCTGTGAAATGGGTATTTTGTTGAAATGTGTAGGCTTTGCTTTGGCATTGGGAAGCAATTCTCTATCCTTTCAGGGAGGAGTTAGGCATGGGAAACAAATAGCCTGAGTGGCAGAAATGCTGTGTAAGTTTTTCTCACAATGGTACTTTTGTTTAGTTTTTGAAGGAACTGAAGTGGGAAGCCTATTCCTTAATGGTTCTGCTTCAAATTATAATTGGATCTAACATCATTGAAATGCTTTTATATAGAAAGAAGTGATCCCTGCTGGTAGAAAACAGCTATGCTAGAGAAATGACTAAGCTAGAGAGAGCCTTTTCTACAAAATCTAATTTATTACATATAAATACTGTGTGTGTGTGTGTGTGTGTGCCCACGTGCATGTGCACACATTTTAAATTTTAAAGGACCAGATGACCTGGAGAAATGTTCCAACTAATTCAGTATCTTGTATTTTCACAGATGCCTCTGAGAATCTCATAGGTCAAGATATAGCAGTAGCATCCTCTTCACTTCTCAGGACCTAATACTGAGAGGCATAATTAAGATGATAATTGTTTTGACTGTTGTCATTCTGTCGTGAACGCTCGGGAATTGTTTCCTCCAGCTAAATTAGTTTATATATGTAGTTTATTTGGAAGTATATGCATTACTGTAATGGGGAAGTGTTAGTCACAACTGTCTCATAGATTTATCTCTCTACTTAACCCTCAGTTTGTTCTCTTTCCAAGTTGAATAAAGAACTTCTTATTTAAGGAATAAAACAAGGGAGGCAGAGTCAGTATACTGTGAAATGCTAAACTGGAATTTTAAAACCATGGTGAATTTCTCATGAAGGATCTACAAGTTAGAGCTAAATAGTGTCTCTCATAGGATTTTCTGCAAGATCCTAGTGTTTTTAGTGTTATGTTCTTCATGAATATTCATTTTGGAGGCAGAACTGACCCAAAATATACTTTTTAAATGACTAGTCTTGTTGGATTTCCAAAGAAGAGTGCATTTGGGTTTTTTTTTAATCTACTTGAATGCAACCACAAGTTACTGGCTTGGCAAATCAAAGGTATGGTGCTTTTATGTATTTTTGTTTAATCAATAACAATTTATGACTGTTCTAGTCAGTTTCCTAAGGAACATAATAGAACAGGGTTTGGTCTCTCCTTCTACTCTTCATGAGCAGATACTCACACTGTGGCTAATTATGCTGGCTTTTTATTTTTTTCTCAACATAAGGTAAGAAGAGTTTGCTTTGCATTCTTGTTCTTTGCTTGCTAGTTCCTGAAGTGTTTTACCGGAAATAGAAGCTTTGGCTGCTCTTCAGTTGGTTTGCACCTGCTACTTAATCCCTCCAGCACCTGGAGCAGTAAACACCCTTCCTGGCTTGCCGCAACAATTATTAACTTTTAGTGCAGCTGTTGCACTAGTCATCGGCCAGGATAATGCTAACAGAGCCACCAGACCATTCCAGAATGTTTAACTATATCTAACTATGAAAAAAAAATCTGTGTAAGTTATCCTACAGTAAGCTATGAGTAGGATAGAGATTTGAAGCTATTGCACATTGTTGCAAGTTCTGGCCTTATTGCCTGTTTTGCTCAGAAGCTGAATCCCACAAAAGCACTAAAGATTTTGTAATGTAAAAAAGCAAAAAAAGTTCAAAAACTAAATAGTTGGATTATATTCAAAAATAAATCACATTTAAATATACACTTATCACAAAATTTTAAACACGTTTAAAATCGAGCAGAAGCTACTTGAAATATGGTAGAAGAGCAAAAAGGAAGAAAGTCATTGTTCATTCCAGAAATAGGTATAAAAAAGAGAATCTAGGCTCACCCTGAAGAGGACAAAAGAAATAAACATATGCATGATTATTACATTAAATCCTATATCTGTAATCTTCACAATATCTCTATATTTTATATAAATGTGTACATCTTGAATTTCATACTTCCCTTTCATCAGAGGGAAATAGTAGGATACAAACCTTTAAAATCTCTGCAGGATATTTTGCATTTCAGTATGATGATCAGTACAGAATTAGAAGTGAAAGCGACTTGTATGGCAGATTAAAAAAGGATTGCACTGTCATTCCATTGCATTTTCTTCCAGTGGGACACAATCACAATATGCTTTATATGAATCTATTTTGCATATGATCCCTATACATAAGGGAAGTAAGGGATCAGAGAACTATTCTATTTACATAAGCATTTTAATGGCTTGAGACAAAAATACTTAATACTGTTTCCCACAAGTACCATCATTGCAGTTTTTAGGAAAAGAAATAATGCCTTCCATCTTTGGTAGCCCTGTGGCATTTCATTTCCCACTTAACCTGTATATCCTTTTCTGCTAGATATCTTCAATGTCAAAATTAGTACTGTCTAATAAAAATTTATAAGGATCCCAGACTGACCCTTAATTAACTTGTCAATATTATGTATTATGTTTCATACATATTTCTTTTTTCCTTTCTTAAATTGCTTACATACAATCATAGTAAGAGCTTTTAAGCTTTCTATTGTTTTTCCCAAAACGTTTCTTTTTTTTTTTTAGCCAATAATTTTCCTATATTGCAAATATTTTGAAATAAACCCTCCTCATTTAGAGAGTTATATAGTGAGTTGCAGATGAGATGAGGGAATGTGTTTAAACTCTTCTTTTAACTTATATGTTTATTTCAGAAATTGTTTTAAAGCTCTGTTGCTAGCTAATTGTTGTGGCATACTCCCTAGTCCTTATTTTCTTTTCAGGGCAAAATTACAGATTTCTTCTATTAGACTCTTATCATATAAATCTTCAATGAACAGAAGAAGATGATTCTATAATCCATGTTCAGTGTATATACTATAATACGGTCACTGTGGTTAATACAAATGGTTGTTGTGAGCACCAGTTGATAAGAAGATGCAGGAACATGGAAGTTTTTTCCTGGACCTTTTAATTCCAGATTAAGCTGAACTAACTATCTCACCAGTTTTACTTTCAAGGCTGAAAACCCCCCCACTTATCTTAGAGAAAGAAAAACCTATTTAAATAATTTTTAAATGTATGAAAACGTTCAAAAATTAACAGTACTTTATGAACAATGCTGCCATGACGTAACTTTTCCAGAGCTGTGTTTTAACAGTAGCAAAGATCCATGGTGTGTCCATGTTTATGCTTACACACATGTATAGAAATACATGCTCAGTTTAATCTAGTTTAAAGACATACAGTTGGTATTCAGTAGTAGCAGTTCTGAATTCTACTGCAGCTGAAAACAGCTCATGGGAGGAGGTAGCATCACACTTCAAATGAAAAGAAGTATATTTCCTTTTTGAATGGTTTGATCTCAATAGGAACTAGAGTTCTCTATTCAACAGAGGGCTTGCTAACTTTTTTCTTTTGAAGGGAGAAGAGCTCTTGAGGGGTGTTAGTTTTATATCTCAGATGGCTGTACTGTAGTTCTAGGAAGCTTTAAACAAATTGAAATATACTTTTGGAGAAATTAATCCTTAGATTTTTTCAGATGCTAATTCTGACTGCTGAGGCTGTTTTGAAAAGCTTCAGCTGAGATGAACCTTTTTGTAGTTCATCTATGGGGGGGCACATGTGTGTGTGGTTTTGTGTGTGTGTGTGTGTGTATGCATTTCTCTACAAATATATTAGAGTTACTGCAGAAACTGACTGAAAACAGTTTCCTTCTCCTGCAGTAATATTTCAATATTTTAGTATACCCTTTTTCTACCAAAAAAAGCAATGAAAACCTAAACTAGCAGTTTTAAAGATATTTTATATTAGTTTGTAATGTATATTCTTTCATTATCACAGTGCTGGTATGAACTACTTTTTTGTAATATTTTTGTGAATCACAAAGCTTTTGTTTTCCTTCTGTGTATTCAAAGTACATTAAACCTGTTTGCATATTGTGTTCAGTGTGTATTTATTGATTGCAGAGCTGATAAATTAGATTTTATTTTTCACTCATACTTAATTTTATTTTTTCCAACTGTTATCCGCAGGTTCTAATCAGATAATAGGCAATATATAATATGAGGGCTAACCACCAGCATCTCCTTATCTACAATCTTTGTTGCAATTTATCTGTTGTTCTACCAGGTACAATCTATTTGGGGGAAACATTTGAGTAAATGTGAATGTATGCTAAATTTTATAATATGATGTGGGAATCACACAGGTACAAGAAGCTTACAACACCTACAACAGCTATCTTCAGCCTAGTAACTTCTACATGTGTTTTGACTAAAATTCTTGTGCTTTCCACAAATTCTGGAAGGAACAGAGTTCTTTCTAATTTTATTTTAATATCACCTTTCCTTGGCTATTGAAGAAGGATAGAGTTAAAATGGTCACATGATCCTATGTATTATATTGAAGTACCTGGACAGCACTTTACTGTGTTGTCAAAAAAGGAGGGGGACTTTTTTTTTAGAAAGCTGTAACTGAAATAGGAAGACTTTTCATAGAGCCTAGAACTGCTCACTGATTTTGGTTACATCCTATCTCTGTATTCTAGAGAAAGCATAACTCCCACTTAATTACTGTCTTGAACAAATATAATTTGATAGTTGGGTTGCTTAAGTATCATTAATTTGGTTTGACTGCTAGATAGATCTCCAGGATGCTCTGATCTCAGCCTGGTTATTCAAGTCTTGCAACAGTGAAAACTAGTGAGAGAAAATACATACAGCACTGGGGACGTGGGGGGGGGAGGGAATCAATTTTATTTCATAGTTTCACCACTCCATTGGATCCATATGATATTGAGCCACACTTTGGAGCCCTCACTCTGCTTCATTGATCTCTTGATTTATTGTGCTTCGTGGCATTGGCTCTGTGGCTTGTTGCAAAAAGTCACTTTATTATCTTGTTCTTCTCAATTGAGAAATTACCAAGTCTCTTATAAGGCTACATCTCATTTGGAATTCTTACTATAATGGAGTAATATACCTTGTCTACCCAATGAAGCATATCTCCTGGACCACTGGAGTGTTTATACCATCAATATATCTAATTTCTAGAAATTAATGTTTTTCCACAAAACTTTTAAAGAGAATTTTAAAAATATGTGGCAAATTTTGATTCTGTAATTCATAGTGCTGTGCATTTCAGGGATGAAATGAATTTGTGTAGAGACCTGGGGAATCATTCTTTCTGCAATAACTTTGGGAGCTTTTGTTGCATTACTACCATATCAACAGATGACATGAACAGTATGAAATTCTCCATGTGAGCCATCTTGTTTATATGTGTGCACGCACGCACACATACGTATATTCCTGTATTTGATTAAGAAAGTTCTGAGAAACTAAAAATACGCTTATACTTTAAATCAATGACTTTCAACATTTTTAAAAAAAAACCTTTTTGCTGATGGCTACCTAAACTCAAGCATTATCTATGATACATTTCTTCTATTTTACACTAGTTTTGTTACCTCAAGAATACACTATAGTGATGAGTTGGATTACTTAAATACCATTAGGTAAAATGTTTATTTTCAGATGACATCTTGTTTGCAATTAAAACTTCAATAAAAGATATCACAAATATATCATTTTCAGCCTTCAACTGCTTGAGTATTTATTACTGGTATATTTTCAATTTTTAATTATATTGAAACAATTAAACAAGCTAACAAATTTAACTTTTCTTTTGTTACTTAGTGGGGTATTTTAGTGTGATGAGATTTTCACAGCTGTTTCACAAGAACTCTTAATTCCTCTCTCAGCAATGTTTACATTCCATTTTTCCAGTTTTTGCTTGTGAGGCAGAAAATCCCAATTCACATTGGTAATAAGTTAAAAATGATGTTTTTTTACCAGACTTCCCTTTCCTGCAATCGAAGTGTGTATTCATTCTTTGCCTACATCCAAAATTCAAGAAACACCTTCCATGAGGTTTAATTTCACATTGCAGCTCCTCTGCCATACACTAATTCTTCCCATTCTGTGAGACTAAGCTGAAATTGGTTTGGTGTTTCAATAAAGTGGTTTCTCAGCTAGTCACAGTTTTCAAGGGTAGACTAAAAAATATAATTTTATTTTCCAGCTGTTCAGCAATTACTGGTATGACCTGCAGTAATATTGGGAATATGCCCATATTTGTCTCCTTCACTTTTCCAGTCCAAACGTTTTACCATTATTACATTGATCTGTAGACATTTTTATATTTTTCTTATTTAAATATTCAACAGTAGCTACCAAGAAAATAACTTTGTATACCAAAAATACAAACCTCTGGTTGCTGAAGAATAAAGGAGGGAATAAGCATCACGTTCTTCAATGACATCATGGTTTCTCATAAGCTTCTAACCCATGGATGTCAAACTATTGCGTCCTATGATGTATCATGATGTTTTTTGCCTCAGTGGAGCTAGGGTGGGTGTGGCCTGCGAGTGATGCATCCGGCCTATGGGCCGCCAGTTTGACACCCCTGTTCTAACAAATGTAAGGATGGAGGGAAAGTTATGCAATTTGTTCCAATTTCTTCACAAAATTTGGGAAACAGATGCAACTAGTGACCATTTTTATGACTGTCTACCCCTGTTTTCAACTTGTAGCCAGTTGCTTTTGCAGCTAATGCTTCATGATACTGAAGAAAGCATATTTTTATAACATTATGTTTTCCATTAACATAAATTATTTTACTGATTCATCCGTTAAAAGAGCAGCAGCTTTACAAATTGCTATATGCATAGGATTTCTAGGGCAACACAACAGATTCCAAGTAGCTAAGATAAGACAACCACCCTCATCTTGGGTTTTTCCATCAAATTCTTTACCACATAAACATAGTTTTATTTTACAATCATCAACATGGCAAATGAATATCAGTAATTGAAATGCATCCATTTCTTTCTAAATTGAGATATAAATGGTTTCTTCAGTGTTGGCTAACATACTGTCCACGAGAGGAATTTCCTTTATTTTTTTGTTCGGCTTCATTCCAAATCTTGACTTTCCAATGGCACTACGAGCAGGAAAAATCAGTATCTCTGTGATTGTGTAAGGATCCATAGTTAATAGAATAAATTCTGTGATTAAATAATTTTTCTTATGCTTTACTTGAAATACTTTTAGAAAAATTAAAACTTGATTGCTTTCTAACGTAGAATTTTAAAATCTCTCACAATACCATCAAAAGTTTCTCAATAGCAGTGTCATTTTAGTGAGTAATGTCTCTGCCTGAGAAGAAACTATTATTTTTAGTTTTCTTGTTTATTATGGCACCTATTTCTTTTTCATTTATATTCCATCTTTGTCACTTTGTCCCTACCACTGTAATCTTTATATTTTCGTACAGGTTACCTATTAACATTTTAACACATCCCTGATGTCTTTGAGCATCACTATCACTTCCTTATTAACCAATCAAACTAAGCTACATACTTGGATTTGTTACCTAGGGTTTATTCACACAAGGGACAGCTTTCAAACAGGGTAACATTTTAAACTGAGGCTTAGGTGTTGGCTGACTCACCTTCAGGCTCTTGGAGCACATTAGCCCAGATTTCAACAATACTTTTTCTCAGTCAGAAACATCACTTACACAAGAATAAATCTTTATTCACAAAGCAGAATCACACGTCTGCTATAATAGTATATTCATTCATTAATAATTTAAAGTTTGTTGTAAAACTTTCCTGGTCCTCTCATGTTTTTATTTTAAACTGTAGCCAATTTGATTGACTCAAGCTCAAAAAAACCACTGAGGAATAGTGGATTTTTATATCTCCTTATAAGGATTGGGGAGAAGTTTTATTTGGAAAAAAAGTATCCAAAATACAAAAGTGAAATGTGTGTGTGTGCATCCTTTCTAAATCTTATACTACAATCTATTAAATTTCTACTTATATTATTCAGTGGTATATTATGTTCTACTATTAATACATCATGTTCTATACTGTTGCTTGTATTTCTATGCTATATTATATTATCCTCTAAGTCGGGTGTCAAACTCAATTTCATTGAGGACCCCATCAGGGTTATGTTT